CAGTTACAAGGCATGTAAACAAAACATACATGTATGGACAAGCCATGGGTGGGAGTCACTCACCAAGCACTTTGCAGAGCCACAACTCTGACATATGTACTTTTCCCTTAAGAGGATCATGCTACTTGAGGATTTGCCACTCCTGTGCTTCAACCACCAAGGGATTAATTCTTGAACTAGAAATAGGACAACTGCAGTGAGGGAAGTTTGCAAGCAGGTGATAAATATAAAGGCTATCAGTGGTTTAAGATGTGTGGCTACTCAGGACATGGAGCACTTTCCTGTGGGGTTCTCGGTTTCCTTTCACTCATGGAAGCAGAGCCCATAAAGTTAATATACATATATTTCAGTTTGTTCCGCATTTCTAGCTATAGCTGATGTGTTTACAGCTGCCCTGGTGTTGATGCTTCAGTTTAACATCATATACCACACACACTAGTTTCCCTAGGACAGGAGCAAGCAGGTGTCGATTACAACTGATGGGTGCATTTCTAGTGAAGTCTTCCCTGAAAAATAGACAAGGTAGTCTTTCCTGAAAAGTTTAGCTGGGGGGAGCATAGTTTACACTGCATTTGGGATTTCCTGGCCGATATATGAATGTAGACGCACAGGAGAAAGCCGCAAACCTGTATCAGACCTGCTATGCCTTTTGAAGCCTATGCCTTCCATACCCCTGACATCTTCTGTCCCTGCAGAGCAGTTGGATCAGCTCTGGGTCTCCAAAGCCCAGGGAGCAGAACGGCACACCTGCAGCCACTATTTGGCACAGTAAGGGACACTTGGGTAGATCCTGCCCTCTGACCATTGTTTGGTGAAAAAATGCTGTGCACATGTACATCACTGTCACAGGATTAGGCTACAAGTTCTAAATAAATTTGGATATGTATTTGAAGCTCACAGTCTATAAAGTGTTTGCAAAAGCACACATAATCAGACTACATGCACACATTTGTTTGTAGCTTTCTCTTATTAGAGATTATCATTTTAATTTGTAGGACCTGTTTTCCTGAAGTACTGACTCAGAGTTATCTGAGTTTTAGCCTGGAATGGACAAAGTTTTGTGGAGGCTGCTACCACGCAAGAGTAATAGCTTTACAAAGATCAAAAAGAGGTGTCAGAAAAGATTTAGGTTTTTTCATTAAAGAATAGTTTTCATAATATCTGAAGTAGTATCAATCTTCAACACAAAGAGAAACATTTAAAAAAGTGAATCTTTAAAAATGATTTTTTTTTTTTCCTGAAGGAAAGGAAAATGAAAGGCATATGTCTGACCTACAGGTTCTGAGATCTTGAGATCCTAAGCCAGAAATGACAGAAAAGATGATACTATGTAATTGCCACAGCGTAGGTTTGCACTCAGACATGAGGATCACAGTTCTTCCCCGCCTCTTAAAACCGCCATCCTGCCCATCTGTTTTCTGAACCTTTTACTTTGACAGCGCTGAATTTGGCCTCTTCCATGTAACTTGCCATGAAGAATCCTACTTCACAGGATACAAACCCAAAACATTGCAGCACTAGAATATAGGAATAGCACCTCATAAGAGGATTTTGTTCACCATTACCTTTAAAAGCAGTGTCATTCAAAAATGAGGACATATTACTTTCACTCTAACAAATAAAATACTTGATGTCCCCCGCAGGGTCTGAAATTGCTTAAATGTAATTTCTACTAATATAAGTACTGTGAAATGAGACTAAAGAAAACCTTTTAAAAACTACCCACCCCTTTGAAAAATAAATACTTTGTCTGCTTAAGGGACTACGGTACAGCTTGAGAGGATAATTCTTATAATTCATAAGATATAATTCATAAGATACAAGACCTCCATACACAGCTAGCTGTTAGTCACAAGTCTGTTTTGAAAGCAGTGACAGGCCTCTCCTTTCTCTAGAAAAATCATAACTGACTGCTTTTTTCAAGATTTATACCTCCTATCTGTAACTCTGCTGTCTGAAAATGCCTGAGGTTTGTGCATCATCCAGCCTGACCGCTCTTGCCAGGCTCTAATGACTAGCACAGAGAAGGGAAAGAAAACCTATCTTGTACCCAAAATGTGCGCATACAAAAGTGAGTATCACTTCAGAAACTACTTCAGCATAAGAGAGATCATGAAGTCTGCTTCTAGAGTTCCTCCTTTCTTTATATGGACCAACCTATATTTGTATGACTATCAGCACTGCAAACCAACCCTACCTAATGCTACAGATTCCCAGTGATTCTTTTTGCTACCTATATTTGAACTTCAAGCACAATATTACCAAGCATGTAACATGACCGGTGGGTCTATTTTTGCTAACAGTCATTCTGCTCACAAAGTACCCTTACATTTTTTTGGTAAATTTCTTACATCTTTAATCCATTTATAGGCACTATTTCTGATCCCCAACTTCATCCCAGTAGATAGATAGATAGACAGACAGACGGACAAAAAAGGTTTTTATTAGGAAGGTAGTTACCTAACTCTCACATTCTAAATGCATTTTTTTCCTTATCTTTTGCTAGGACCAGCTTTAGTATGAATTTTCCTGATCAAACACTATTTTTTGCTTCATGTTACTTTATGATGCAAGATACAAAAATGTAAATATTTTCACATAATCCCAATATGGACCTGATTTAATGTCTGTGGAAGTTGATGGATAAATAATCTGACCCAATAATTCATTCTGTTTAGAAAATATATCTAGACTATGAAAACACAAAGGTGAAATTTAGAGTACATGGATTCTGTCCTGGATAAAGGGTGAAGAAGAACCATGTAGACATACAGCCACAACGCCACTCCAGTATGCTGTGACTAAAGGTCTGCTAGTGAGAGGAGACTACCACCTCTTCTGTCTAATAAGCACCAGAATGGTAAAATAGGTTCAGCAGAAAGGTTCTTCCCACTGTATTGAGCAAACAATATGCCAAAGGCAGACAGATTCCAGCCACGTCTCTAGCCAACTAGAAAAAACAGTGCTACAGTGAAACATAAATTTGGAGGACCGAGGGAAGAATAAACACCTAATTATAAGAAGCACAAGCATTTTTAAACAAGCAGTACTTCTTTCCTGTGGTGGCTCATACCTCATTAAAGGTATGTTTGCCTACCACAGCAGCCACTAGTTGCAGCTAAAACTGTGCTCAGGTAGCTGCATTATCAGCTCAAGGCAATCCTGGTTTGCTCCTCTGATAAGTCGCAGTCAGATCACATGAGTTGACACTGAAGAATATTCAATTTCCCTTGAACCCAAAACCACAAACTCATAACCAAACCTACTAAGCTTAGGCAGGTTCAAGTTCTGATCTGTGAAATGTGAAAGACCTTCCATGCAGAAGGTGCATCAGATGCAGCCTGCATTTTCAGGTATGAAGTGGGAGACTATATGTATCAAGGAAGCTAGATCTATCCCAGTATCTCTTGTCCGAAACCTGAGCAAACTTCCTTTTCTTGGAAACATCTTCTACTTTAAATATTTTTTCCTTTTCTCAGGGCCAGTCCTGCTATTTTACCTAACAGCCCTCTTCTTTCTGGGGGCTTGAATGACTCTCTATCAACCAGACATCTCAGATCTGGCAGAAGCTTGCAATAAATTATACCAATCTATAAAACAGTAAAAAGAGACATAGAGGAACAGGTTGTTTCTCATTGCTGGGTATAGGGAGAACAGGTTACCAAAAATAAAACCTTACATAAGCATAACAAATCCATGCTATATTTTGCTACAGAATTTTTCACAACCAGAGAGACCACATGTAACCACTACAACTATCACAAAAAAAGTACTACTGCCTTTCTAAACCACATAAAGGCACCGACTTCATTTGTGTTTCTCTGTTTAACACAGTGTTTAATATCCTAGATGTGTATTACAATCATAAAACATAAAAAGCTAAGCAAATGGGTATCAAAAGGATTCTTCATCACATGCAACTCACTTGTCACAATTAAATACTCAATTTAGGATCTCCTTCTCTCCTCTGTATACTGTGAAAATTTTCTATGAATATTAATGGCAACTGGTGACAAGGAAGAGAAAGAATTTGAGATGCCTGCCTACAGACTAACACAAAATGTGTAAGTTGTCTTTAATGTAGTGATGCAGCTCCCTTTTTTTTTTTTTTTTTCAAATATCCTAAGAAGAACTGTTTGCAATGGTAATATACTAAATTTGGCCAATTAATTTTTAAGAATCTGTATTGTGCTGACCTCAACAGAACCATAAATAAATATACATCATGAAAAATATTACTCTTTGTTAAAAATACTTTTATTGAGCACTATAAACATTCAGTACCAGGACAACTGCATTTCTCACCCTGCGCCCAATTTCTGTGTATAGCAAAGTAAACCCCAGCTAATCAGTACACTTGCAGTTAAATCTCTTCTACTGAGGAAAAATTCATAGAAAAGTATATAGTTATTTATGTCTGAAAGTGTGTTCCTTCATCTAAAAACTGGATACTGTACTTATACCTAGTGTCAGTGTTTTCCCCAATGAGATATTGCACCATTAACTAAACTGCTAAAAGATGGGAGTTCTTTAAAAAGCATTTTTGTCTCCTTTCCATTGCAAGAGCCATTCCTGACAACTATAATTTCAGAGACATGCTTGCTTACGGCATTCTTCACACAATAGGATAACCTGGTTTGCTAATAATTTTAAAGAAAGCTTGTAATTGAATAAATTTATAAACATTTAAAAGAAACACCCTTCTGGAGCTTAGTTGGTTAAGAGAAATGCTAAATCAGTGCTTGCTGATTGCTGAAGCCAACTGACGGGTGGATTCTATATTTAGGATCCTCCTTACACCTGTCAAGAGACAGAAACAGCCAGAAAAAAAGAAAGTGTGTGCACCAGAGCAAGCAATCCAGAGACCCATCTCTTGTAGCAAGGAGCTAAAAATAAAAGCAACAAAGAGCAATAAAGAAAACAGAGCAAAATCTTATTATTTATATTACCCCGCTGCTCTGTGACATGCTGTCAGCGAGCGCTCCGAACAGGGGACAGACCTCATTAGTTATCAGCGACTCCAGCTCCCCGCAGGAAGCCACAGCGATACTCGAAGCTGGATGCAGCCCAACTGTGTCAAACCTGTGCTCCTCAGGTGGATCCCTCTCCCCGACGCTCCTCAGCTGAAAGAGCCAGGGCCTCTGTGGCAACATTCTCATTCCAAAGTGAACTCCAGCAAATAGTCACCCCTGTGCTCAGCAATGCCACTGGAAATGGGCTTTCCAGCTTTGATTGGCATCTGTCTGAATCCCGGCTGCTCTCTGTTTGCTAACCTGACAGCACTTCTTTCTATACTGATGATTTGTAGATACGTATGCGAACGTAACAGAAGGAAAAATCAGAAATATTTGGGTTTATACAGATTAGGGATAAAGAAACAGCATTTCTGGGGAAGTAGGGGGCATCATGCTGTTTAAATTTACACACATACCCCTTTCTAAAAGCTACGTGGCAATTCCTAAACAAAGCAAATTTCACTCTGCCTTCCCTGACTCCTATCACAACAATCCAGGTAGCTTTTTAAACAATACCTGATTCACCACCAGATTCCCTGCATTCTTTTTAAGAAAAGGAAACCAAATGGTTTTTAAGTATTTCCCAGTGCTCAGCAAACCTTATCTATTACTGGCCAAGCTTAATTTAAGTTTCAGTAACAATTACTTTCTCAGAAAGCAAACAAAAAAGACTTTTTTCCCATCAGTGGCAGATGAATTGCATATTTATTTGTTAAAAATTAATGATGTGCATATTTGGCTGAGAGAAAATGCTCAGTCCTCATGAAAGATGTTCAATACTTATAAATGTGGATGTTTCAGTTTGGATACACAGTTCAGACAGCAACTGCACAAATACCTCTGAACCTTCTCAAAAGTAACCCCAATTATTTGCCTACCAGTTAGTTTTAACCACTAGTCTGTAGTTACACCCAGCTTGTCTGCTGAGTGTACGTAACTAATGTTCATGTACATATTAACTTTAATTATACAGAGACAAGAGGCAAATGAATATTAAAAACAGGGGAGATAATGAACTTACATTCAGCTCAATAAAGAACTAAAGGGACATGGATGAAATTTGTATATGATCAACACATGCATGCAGTAGTTCCATGTACCTTGATGTCACAGAAACAACCTCAAACTGTATACTGCAAAATTATGGCTTTACTGAATCAACACATATTTTGAAATCTACATCCATGCCTTTCCCCCCTAGTTTAAAAGACAGTGATTCAATACTTGCTGGAAATCAGATCCAGAGCAAGTCTTTGTGCCTGGCTTGGGGCAGAGTGGTGATGCTGTGCACAGTGCAGACCTCTTAGCCAAGGCAAAGATATCCACGTGATACGTTTAAGGTCATACAGTTACTAGCAGTTTATAAAAAGAAATCATAAATTTAGGTTTGAAGTATAGTTTACATTTTTAAAAGCTTCATGCTTTTTTCTTTGGATGTCATGTAGTTTAATAATCGTTTGTAGTTCTGCAGTTACAGAATATCCTACTAGCCATTATGTATATTGTAATGGGAAAGTATAATACTGCTTTATATTATCAATAATAATCCTAACACATAGAAATAAGGCAAGGCATGTTTCAGCACTTAAAATAGCTCATGCTACTCAACCAATGCAACTCCAGTGTTCAAAGGATGGAAGCCTAAACAGCTATCAAAAATTCACTGAAGCTGAGATACAGAAATTTAAAAATGTTCAACTGACCATAGTATGAAGACAGAATGGAACCATACTAGATGTACTGTAATAAATTAATGCATCTAGCTCCTATAACAAACTAGCTATGCGAGTCATACAAATATTTTTTTTACTATTTGTAGCACAACTGGACTGTTCAGATTCACATGCAAAAAAATCTACAAGATAAGAATGGTGAATCATCTACAAAGTTTTATGAGGTCTTAAAGAGTAACAACATACATTTCAAAAGAATAAGGGCTTTATACTAAGTATTGGACAAAGTACTGTTCTGTCCTATCTATCACTAACGGTGTCACCTATGGCAGAGGTTATAACATTCTCTTGGGTACTAAAACATATAATCTTTTAACATCTGCCTTCATTACTTGTATGTTTGTCCTACATTCATAACAGCAATGAACACAGGAAACAAAATTATAGAAAGTGATTTGGCTGTCTTGCATCATGTTAGTGGTGGATGCACATTAGTATACATAATATTACCCCACCATTATTTGTTCCCCTACAGGTATTATCAGAGAAACCCCTCAGGAGACATAAACTATATTGCTTTATCATTACTAGGGATGCTGTTTCCATGTCAAACTTTCTGTCTAAGAATCTCTGTCTCATAAGTTTCTGTTGCAGAGAATCCATAATATAGGTTTTGTTTCTTGGTTGGGGCTTATTATGCTAATAAGAACAGAGTGTATGATGCATGCACTGCTGTTTGAGGTCTGTATAGAGGAACACTGGTTCACAGTCACCTGGTCTGAGATACTGCATCATTCATATGTTAAACTGAATTAAATACAATAAATTCAGTCATACCAAAAATAATATTCAGGAATGCATCAGAGATATAATAAATGATGTAATAGATTTCTTTCTGCACATAATTTCTAAGACTTTTTGAAATTCTCTTACCATCATGCAAAAACCAGGGATGACAGACCATTTCCATGCATTTTTAGTATTATTTTGTCCCATAGCATGGTAACAGAAAAGGCCAAGCTTAATTTCATTAAAAGATGCGACCTGGCAAAAGTGGACATAAGTTACCATCACAATACTTCTTTGGAGTAGGTTGGCAATAAAGTTGTCATATATTAAATCATTTATCCACAAATCTTCTACTGAAAGGAGTCTTTGAAAATCAAGTAAGAAAATACAGAATCATAGAACCATTGAATGGTTTGGGTTGGGACCTTAAAGGTCATCTACTCCAACCCCCTGCAATGAGCAGGAACATCAACTAGATCAGGTTGCTCAGAGCCCCGTCCAACCTGACCTTGAATGCTTTCAGGGAATACATTGTATCAGAGTCATTAAGTGATAATTCCTTCAGACTAACTAGCTAATCTAGTATTTAAACCAAAAATCTGAGTCAAAGTCTACAGCAGAAATGTTTTATTGAGGATCGTATTATGACACCATTCCATACCTCTACCTTCTAAATGCACTTAAAAATGAAAAGGTTGGGTTTTTTTTTCTTTTTCAGTAATATAACAGTTGGAAAGAAACAGTTAAGCAATGGAAAGAGTACTGTCCAGCACTCAAGTAATACAGGAGAGAGCTTTTGCTCTTTCAGCTTTCTCTTCAGTACAAATTTAGAAGCTTAACCACGAAAACTTCTAGAAAATGAATCCACAAGCTACCTAGTTGTACTATCAAGGCACTGTGTATATTTAATCTAAATTTTCCTTCCCTTAATTTGTAGGTTAAAGTCTGAGAAGCAGCTGATAGTCTGAATAATTATTCATCTTCACCAGAATTCTAATAGCAATTTGTATTCAGACTTTTATTCTGCTCTGATATGTAATAGCAAAAAATCAGCAGTTACACAGCATATTACATTTTGAAAGCATTGTCCAAACAATTCTCTATGCCCTTTTGAAGAATTCACAGATGAAAGAGAAAACTTGGTAAGAATAGAAAAAACAGACCCTGAAACTCCTGTTTTATTTTTTGTAAATAAATAGCTTGGAAGCTTTAATCCAGCCCTAACTTACAACTTTGAAACCATGTGAATTCAAACCATGTCTAGTTTTGAGATGCATAGAATGAGCTTTTCTTCTAAAAAAAGTAAGCATGGTGATGATAAGGCATTACATTTCTATGGAAGCAGACAAATAGTGGTGAATTACCTCAGTTGAGAGAAAAATCAGGTGGCCATTAAACTGCTGGTTTTAAAGCTCCTGGGAATTTTTTTTACTGTATCATTTCAGCATCATTTCAGACTCTCAGAGAGCTACACAAACAATGTAAAATAACAACACTTCACTGTAAATAGCCCTTATTTTTGCATTGATTTTGTTTAGATAGACATTGAATGTTAAAAATATTGTGTAATTGCTCCATTCTGAAAATAGCATTATCAACCAAGAAAGCCTTCATTAGTTCATTATGTAATTTTCCCAGGTGAAAGAAATGTTTCATGGAGCGTATGTGTCCATGTCAAATCACACAGTAACAAATCACAAACTGGAATCTAAGGTACTGTTGAATTAGAAGCTCCATTCCACAACAACAATCAAAACTGTGTACCTCACACAGTCTGTATTTGCCTATCATATATTTGTTTAAGGACTTTGGACTAAAACACACTTAACAATACTGCAAGATTTAAAAAAAAAAAAAAAAACCAACAAAAAAAACCCCAACACACCAAAAAACACAAATCAAACAGCTTTATTTTATTGCTTTGCAGATATTGTAGGGATGTTTTGTTGTAGGTAATTAGGAACTACATTATTTTAATTAGTCTTTGAATGAGTCATTTTGCAGATCCCCAGTTTACAGGTTATCTATTTGGCCATTACCAAAGCCTTGAATAAGTTATGTCCAAATACACATCACTAAGTGTCAGTATATGAAATTTGGATCCGGTATACCAGAAATCTAAAATTTCAGGTATGGGTGAAAACTCTTAAATTTGGATATGGTTGCTCCCAAAATCACCACAAGATTAAATATAGTGATAGACACGGATGAAACATGAGTTTCTTACCCACTTAGGTAAATACAATACTTCATATTTCTGCAGTATATTGCTGGTATTTCCTGGGGGTTAATTTTCAGAAAAAATCACAGCGAGGAAATAATCCCTGCCCAGTAAAGGGCTGTACGAATTACTGAAGTCACACAGCATAAAAAACAGGATCAGCCAGCAATTTTCTGCAATGAAACAATGTCTTAGCAATAGAAAACCTCCAAACACATCTCAAAACCATCTCTTTGCATAGGGTATCTTTACTACAGCTTTTTGGTTCAAAGAATAACTTTTGGCTAATACCTAACTTTCAATTCTCAGAGGCAGATATGCTGCTGCAATCTCTCCATGTAGGGAAAGTTATTACTAGGTTTTCATCGCCAGAGACAAGGTATGTCCTTTGCAGCTTACCAAAGTTATCTACCACATCCACCTGTCACGTTAGACTTACACTGGAGTTGCATT